CCTCAAACGTAATTTTTTTTTTTTTACAATTGTAACACTACTTAAATATTTGAACAAATAACATCTCTATATTAAAATGAATATTTCATGCGATTCAAGAGAGAATAGCAAAATAAAACCCCTCTTACAACTCGAGAGATTAGACTAATATAATATTTAACATTCTCATATTTTGAGATGCAAAATGAATATGTACACACATTTGAGTTGTTCGTTGAGGAATTAAATATAAGAACGCAAATGTAAAATTCATAAATTAAATTAAATATTTCTTACTTACATAGATAATATAAAATAATTTTTATCTCTTCCTATTTTGTGTACTGTGAAGTAATATAATATGGGCAATTTTGTGGTTGAAAGGAAATTATTCTTGTTTTCGATTTCCTTTGTCAAAATGGTATATTTTTTAATGAACAAAAATGCAAAAGTAAAATAATTTAATGATGTCAGATCTGCTGCTTTTCTTACAGTAGGATCAAAATTGTGTTTTTAAAAAGTTTCTATATATTAGTATCAAGTCAAAAAAGTAAATATGGAATTGCTCCTCATTTAGATCTTCTATTGGGCATGGGCTTTGTTTGGAAGATATTACTTGAAATGGTCATAAAAAAAAAATCTAAAGTGTGGAAATTACATAAATCCAGGTGTTTAAAGATTGCTTTTTAAAACTCAGATCTAAAATTTATTTATTCAAAAATCAGGTACTATATCAAAATCCTAATTAATAACCCTAATTTATCACTCTTTACTCCCTCCACTCTCTCTTGCGCCTCCCCTCCTCTTCCCCTTCACCCGGCAACCGACGATGGAGCTGCTCCGGCTGACACCACACCACAAGCCCCCTTGGTCGTCGGCACTGCAGATTAAATAGGAGAAGAGAAGGGGTGCTGGTGTGAGGCAGAGGCAGTAGGAATCAAAATTTTTTTTCTTTGTTTAATTTCTTCAAACAGATCTGTGGAGTTGTGATTTGTGGTGGTCGATGGTAGAGGTTTTGGTGTGGTTCGTAATCGTTGCTGTGACAGCAGTGATGGTGAGGTGTATACGGTGGTTGGTGGCGGTCTTCGACTATGGTACGGTGGATTTGTGGTTGCAGACCGTGTGGTGGTGGTCTGTGAGATAATGGTGGCCCGTGTGGTGGTGGTCATTTTTTGGTGTTGTGGTGCAGGCGGCAAAGGTGGTGGTTGTTTTTTGTTATTATTGTAGCGGTGGTTGTGGTGGTGTTGTGACAGGGTGACGACGTTGGTGGTGTTGTACTGGCGGCGACGGTGGTGGTGTTATTGTTGGTGGTGGTTGTGGCGGTGGAGGTGGCAGGAATGGGACAAAGAGTGTCTATGACCAACTATGTGATCGATTTGTGACCAAGTATTGTAGTGGATAGGGTTCGGAAGACGGGTGTTTGGGTGTATGTGACCAACTATTTGGTTTTCTGTGACTAACCATTAAACCGTGACATTAAAATTCGATAATCTATTACCAACAAATTTGAAAATATGTGATTGATAGATAAACTGTGATCTATAATTTTTTAATTTGTGACTTTTAAATTTTTTGATCCATGACCAATGAAGTAAATTGTGACATGTTATATTTAAATAATAATTATCTTTAATTAATTAACTAAATACCTGA